CGTATAAAACTAGACTAGAAAACGGATAGGCAGAGGGCGTTGACATCATCCTTCCTTCATGAAACTGGTCTACTGGATGGTAGTGAATTATTTTACTGCGGGAAGCAATTTTCTTGTTGTTTCAGCAGAAGTGAAACCTATCGTTTCTGAGTTGCCGATTTTAAGGAAGAACTAAGTCGAGCGAAAATCCAGTTGCAGAGCATGCTGCTGATGAACTTAGAACAGCGACCTGTCATGTTTGAAGATGTTGCCAGGCAGGTCCTGGGTCACGGCTATCGCAAATCGCCATTGGATTACGTGGAGGAAATCAGTTCGTATTATTATAAGCTCACGCATGGAATGATGTAACTTTTTCAGATAAAGTTTCTGCAACAGATATTCATCGCATTGCAGAACGTCTATTAAGCAGCAGCCCGGCAGTCGTTGGTTATGGTACATTAAGGAAGCTGCCTGATTACGAGAAAATTCAGAAATCGATTGCTAAAAGAGACGTGTCACATTTGCGCCCTCAAAAATTTTATGCGTTCAGTTAGCGCAAGTAAAACAAAAAATTTATGCATATGTGTATTTAGAATAAAATTAATATAGACGCCCTGCTGTTGCCACGTAAAAGTTCTTATTTAAATCTGCCGAATGCAGAAACATTGAATAGCACTGACCCATAGTTAATGTTTGAAACAGAAGTTTCAAAGCTGCCGAAAGAAAATATAGACTTTTCTTCTGAGAATAATTGGTCTGTACCTAATTCGTAGTTGGATACAAAATTCTAAAATTTCTTACTTTGATAGTTTCGGCGTTTACGGTAACGTCTTCATCATTTACAAATCCTATGAACCTTACAAAACCCGTGAATCTCTTCTCGATAGCTTTCAACAGTGCTGTCTGCGAAGTACTCTGGAAGTGCGATAATGCAGCCTAATCATATCATATAAATGCGGACGTTCACGGGCTTGAAATATCTGTCAGAATGATTCGTACACTGGCGCCTTGCTCGTTTCTATGATCTTAGAAGAAAAAATTGTTCTTTTGAACAGAATTTGAACAGTTATGCTGTGAAAAGTAACTCAAAACGTAGAGTTTACTCCACTGTAAAAAAGTTGCTAATTATTTACGGAATATGTTCCTTATTTACCGCAAAAGGCTAACTCTAGCACTGTTTCAAACAAGGTTGATGCTCTTGCGGAGAATAACTTTAACGCAGTAATTTTGAAATTTGTTTAGTCGCGTCGAACCAGCTCTGACAGGACAAAAACCAAGAACTTCAGTTGAAAATTTGCTGGGAAACTGCTGCAGAATGACGTAATGCATCATAGCATGTCAGCGTTTATCGTAATACTTGTGACCCTACAACTGTGGGATGCAGTAAGCTGACGTTTAACATGAATCCGTATCTATCGAAAGCAGATATTCATATTTGAATTTAACCAGTCATAAGTATTAAATGAGTACATAATATGCAGTCACAAGCACAAAGCAATTAACGTGACACCTTGTTTTTTCTTTTTTTCTGCGCGAATTTATTAACCTCTGTAGTAGTCGGATGCACGATTCTCTTCACGCTGAGCATACCAGACGGTTGATGACCTTTAAGCGCTTTATTCCAGTTATTATCGTCGTCGTGCACCGCGTATTGACTGAGGTCAATGTCAGACAACAAGCTTTCTATGCGCTTATTGACCTTTACGTCACCCACTCTCCCATACTCTTCCAATTCTTGCTCAAGACTCTGCTGAGGCGGCTTCGAAACTTGTTGCTGGGTCGGTTTGGGCATTTCTGACTCGATCGCTACTTCGCAGACTCCATTAAAGAACTGAAATTAGAAAAGTGCAAAATACCCATCTCTCAAGTCGGATCTGGGTTATGTAACAGAACTACGTACATCCTAGAATAATACAACGCTTCAGCCTTTACCAACTGTATAATGAAAATGCCTCAAAATCAACTTGGAATGACGCGGTTAACATTTCTTTCATTTATGAAAATTCTCGATCTTCCTTACAATTTCATTACGACTGGACCATTTCTGGTGCTCTTCTTTTCATGAAATGGTGGGGCACTGATGCCCATTTCTGTTCTATTAGTCAGTTACACTGACTAATAGAACAACTTTTTGACTAATAAAACAATTTTCTTTCTTTTTAAAAGGCAGAATTGAAAGCAACTGTGTCAAATATAGTATGTAGTCTCCTGTCGGTGTCAGAAGCTGTACCGACTGAGCAAACCCGGTCATTCGTCTATGGCACGCCGCTAATATATAATATGACTCATTTAAAATGTAAAAATGTTGAATAAGCATCCTCTTAAGGGCCATAACGTTTAATCAGACAACTCGAACTAGCAAATAATGTCCGTTGTCACCTTAGATGAAACTTTTGACTTTCGTTAGTCCAGAAAATATTTTTATATCCACCTCACAGTAACGCAGACACTTGCAGAATTTAAGATTGCTCTGATGAAAGTGGCAGATTGAGACCAAGTCGGGCGCCGTGAAAAATCTTTAAAAAACCAGGCTGATAGCATCCGCGCTCTTTAGTTTACATTCAATGAATCTCTGAATGAGACTGGGTCCCGCGAATATTTGTAATGTTTTTAAACCAATGAGCAAACTAACACTTCTGCTGACAAAAGTAAAGGTAGGTTTCCACGGGGAAGCGGACATTTCTTTAACGAAACCAACTGTTCTAGTTGTAATTTCCGATATACTGATCATGGTCGCTACAAATGAGAAATTCAAAACATCAAAAAATGGTCAAACATCTAGTAACTCGTCAATAAATCCCAAAAAAAGCCTAAAATACAAGTGCCCATGTATTATCATTAATTTTGCAGAACCAAGGATAACTGCAATATCAGCAGATATTTTTGACCTGTTAGTGCTGGAAGCTATGACAACTGAAACAGTGGCGGTTAACTCCAAGAACAGAGACTGTGGCGTAATAAAGTCCAATACTTAGATAAACTGCTTTCGGTGTATTGAAAGGTCAAAACGTTAAAAGATCACTGACTAACAACAACAACAGACAGCCGTTCAAGAGGAGTGGATGTCAGGCAGAAACGATGAACGCATATGACAGACAAACAAGAACCATTTGAGCGAATCGAACTTGCTGAGCATCTTTGGACAACGAAAACATCACAGATGATGTGAATCAAGTCAATTTGGTTGACAGTCACAGGAAAGTCGAGTTGAAACCTGGTCTCTTATGCGACTGTCTGATATGCATGCAACTTCGTGTGTATAAGTAAATTTTCCTTTAAAATACAGTATGTTCTCTAAACGAAGTTCATTTAAAGTACCTGAAATTCAAATATTCACGGATAACGATATTAAGTTTTACTTCAACGCTATGTGATAAGACTGTGTGAACAATTCAGCGCTTTCGCTTTTCCGTTTAAGCCTTTGGATTAGATAAAGTTCTGTTCAGCTTTAAATGCACGTTTTAGGAGTCAGAAAGTGTTTGGGCATTATTTGTTTTATATGCAGAGCATTGCAGTCTTTGTTGAAAAAGAAATTCGCATCCAGCACGGAAACAGAAGGTTGCAAATAATGCCGAGGGTCGTTACACAGCGATCGGGCGAGTATCACAGTGAATCGCAAATGCATTAATGGCGAGTACATAAAAAGGTTATCAACCACAATGACTACTGAAAATAAGACAGTAAATAAAAGAACAGCATTCTGACTGCAATTAGGGCAAAGACAGTTGGAATGGCTCTACAGGAAGAAAACGCTGAAAGGAAACGAGATTATAGTTATAAAAGCAGCCTGGCTGTACCCCGCCTATAAAGGTACACTAAACGTAAACCAGCTTAAATTGCCGCTCACGTAGAAACTACAAATAAGTAAATATAAGAACACATGCCTGAACAATCTTTTTGATGATACGATTGAACAGACCAAGCACTTGTGTAGCCGGATAGTTCAACTCCTTTGCCACGTCATCAACGGATTTCCGCTGCAATCCCATTCCCAAGAGTATCGACTGAAAGCGTAAAATTCGTCGTAAAAGACATACACGCAGGCAAATAAGAAACCTTACGGACTGAATGCCGCTCAGGTGAACGGGAATCTTCTTCAAGAAAACGAGGCGTGCCACTAGTGGCAACAGATCAGTAATCAGATGATGGTCGACCAGGTTTAGACTGTACATCTCAAGCCTCTTCAAATCATAGTTACTGAAGTGTACCGAAAGCTCTTCACGATTTAGAACTGAAACGAAAAGATAAGAAAAGCCTGAAGTGACACAATGTTAGCTATAAACGTAGCTGAAGGTTTTATTGGGTAACGTCTGTTTATCGGGGATGGATTCTTAAAAATCGCTGATTCCAAAAGCTAATCTGTTAATCAATGTTAGTGTCAATCTGTTAATTTTGAGCTTGCAATTTTTTTGTGATTATTGCTACTCACAAAGATTCTTGTATGGTAATTTCCTTATGAGGTTTGTGAAGATTAAAAGACTTATATGCAAGCTGTAGCTAAATGTTGATACTGATTAGGATTAGGCCTTGATCCCTTGAAATTAGAGTAAAATTAGATTTAGTCTTTAGAATCGTCAGTCGAAAAGAGCAAGATCTAGCCAATGATCCAGCCTAATCATGTAACATGCAATGCAAGTGCTAAAATATGGATCGATGATCTCTTCAAATGGCTCAGTCTAAAAGCAACGGAGCGGTGCGTGCCATAGGTAAGTAGGTTAAAAGGAGGTTCGTGTTTAAAAACAAAATTTATTCACATATAACGCAAAAACGCAAAATTATTAAATGATCAGCCATTCCACGTTTCAACATGTATTTTATCTATCCTCTAAGATACGATTGGTCACAAAGTTTGTCGCTGGCCGCAATAAGTGTTGCTCTCCGAGTTCGAACAGATTTAGCAGCCGAGGAGGAGAAAATCTCCAATATAATGCAAATATGATTTTTGACAACTAGAACCTTTGTAAACTCCGTCGCTGCCGATCACTACCTCGATTGAGAAAGGAGGTGGGTTGGAGACCGTGGCGAAATCTCCGAGAATGTTCGCCACCTGGCACTCATGGCACTGACGCCGTCAAAAATTACACCGGCTCAGTCGTCGCGCGGGTTACCAAGGGCCGGGCAGGCTGTTGCGGGATTGACGCAGACAGTGAAAACTCGGCGAGCAGAACCGACTCATCCGCCTCTGACGAAGACCGACGTAACGACGACGAAAATACCAGTCAACAACGGAGACGCTCCCCTTTCTGAACGGAGGAGGCAAACAGCGCGATGCCATTAGAGCACGTCATAACAGACTCCACGGGAATGACACTGTCAGTGGGAGCTTACATTCGAAAACTGGAATCTATCCTCACTCAGAGGGAAAGGAGTTAGTTGATGAGGCAGTAAAATACCAACTAAACACAGCAGCTTTCGTCAATGAAGCGTCAAGGCTTTGGAATCCTGAACATTAATGGGTGGAAGCTCTTCTACTCAGGTACCAGTATCGCGATGCGCGCTCAGGCCGTTGTTGGTGTTCTGATTAAACCCAACATCGCAGACAGAATCATTGATTGGAAGCCTGTCAGCGGAACGATGACAATCCTCCGACTGAAGCTACAACAGGCTAAGGCATTGACGTTGATGCTGGTACTAGGCGCCCAATTAAGAAGGGGAATATGATTACTTTTTCGAGGAAGTGCAGTGCGCTCTGTCTGAAGTGCCGAATACAGAGTCCCTCATACTCATAGGCGAGTTCAATGCGCATATCGGAATAAACGCAGACAAGTGGAACGGCGTGATTGGAAAAAACGGTCCTAGCAAACTCAAAAATAACGGCATGAAGTTCTTGCAGTTTGTGCAAACCACTCATAACGACTGTCCATTATGAATACCCTCTTCGAGCATCGAAGAGTTTATCACTAGACCTCGTACCGGGAAGCATGTGCACAGAAGTCAATGATAGATTTGATAATCGTATCGTCTGACTTAAGACGCTCAGTAACGGATGTTCGCGTT